ATGGTTATGTGATACATAGTTTTTATACTTTGTTACAGGCCTTCATCAAAACACATGTATAGATGTCACACAGGTACCAAACTGTGTTCTGAAAGCAAATGAAGCAATGTAGACATTACTTTAGACACAAGTAAATAAACAAACTCAAATAAAATTGACATCTTGATAACAAATTTGAAATGCGAAATATAGCTGACATTAAGTGAAAACAAAATTTCAGATTGCCATTTTATTTTCTCAGCTTTACTGCCCACAATGCTTTTCCACCAGAATAAATAATACAGTATTTGTTCTATTAGAAGCGCATCTTCAATAGAAGCGCACATAAAACAAAAATCGCATTGGCTGTATATTGAATCATTAGAATATTACCCACTACGATGATAGAAAAATCTCTATTTCATGTAAGTGCTTCTAATAGACCAAATACAGTAGTTGCCACATTTGAAGCTAAACCAAACATCACCAGCACTGTGAGTCTATAATTTGTATTTTAACAGTTTTTAAAATTAGCAGAGTCAATCATTAGATAAGATTGTTGATCTATCAATCTACAAAAATTTATCACATTTCCCTAAGAAATATAAACATTCCTTACTATATTTTTATATTAAGTTACAGAGTACAAAAAATGTTCAACACAACATTATAAATATATTTAAATTCATTGCAAAAAAATATTTTTTTATTTTAGTAAAGTGTATGATAAAGCAGAAGCAAAAATGTATATTAGTTTATTTTTTTTTAAAGTTAATTAAAACCTCAACAAATTCTCACATGAAATAATAAGCAAACTTTACAATGAATGTGCATCACATGCATGTCAATTTGGTAGTTTTCAGTCGAAATTCACTACAAATTTAGGTTTTTAGCTGAAACTGACAATTTTAATTAAATTTCTGCGATTGATGAAAAGTTCATCAACACTCGGATATGTTGCAGGGGACTGCAGTCACCTGAGTACTCTTTTACAGAACCTGTCAAAGAATATGTATCTACACACAAGAAATATGAAAGTGATCACAGTGATACGGAATCAACAAATTATAGAATAAAACATAGCACAACTATTACAACCTTGCCCATTGAGAATCTAAATTACATAACAAATGGATCAATGGATACAAACTATTGGGCAAAATATTGTGGATAATATTTCGGTAGGAACATTTTTGACCAAAAATGAACAATAAAGTAATCATAGTTACAGAAAATAAATTAATTAATATTCATGTTTCTGAAATACTACTTCATATACTATTTGAATCGTAATGTCTGGTATAAAATAATATAACATGAATTGTATGAATCATTTCTAAAAAATAATAGTATAGCAACATATCTAAGCAAAATTGTGCAAGAAAAAATACTAGCCGACATGTTTCTTAATTAATTCTACTACAAGTGCTGTATTAATTTCCATGTCCCTAATAGATTGTATGAAAATTCCCAAACTATAGTACAGTATTATATAAAAAGCAAAATCTGGCAAGAAAATATTAGCTAGATTTGGTAGGAAAAGTACACTGCACACTTTTTTTATTTTTTAATACTAAACAAATATATCATATCAGTTTAAAGAATTATCTAATTGACAGATTTGAAATATTGAAAACTGCACTTGCTAGTCACACCAAAATAAATGAACTTGACATTTCATAGTGATGGAGAAGATTTTCAAATTGAAAAGATCGGATAATCACAAAAAGACAAATTTGAGTGAAATTTCACCCAAATCTTGAAAAAAATATACACAGAACAGAGACCATAAACGAACTGCAATGAGATCCCAAACTACTGTAAATAATTCATTTTAGCTAGAATTAATTTTTGCTGAAAAGACATTTTGTTGATTTGTATGGAAATTATAAATATAGGAAATATAGGAAAAATATAGGAAAAAAAGTATATTCACTGGATATTATATTCACTGAAGTATTCTTTCAGCGAAAATTAATTCCACACGAAAATAAAATATTTTACAGTATAATTAATATGAAATTAATTTGAAAGAAATTGGATAAAAACTACAAGATGGAGATTTTTTGAAAAAATCAACAACTAGGACAGGCATTTACTTCTTGTAATACAATGATGTAAATGAAGAAAGAAAAATTAAATAGACATAAAAAAGGGGAAAACTGATGAAAAGTAGACAAACTGTAACATAATAGGTACATAGGATGAAAAGGTTGGTAAACTACTCAGAGAAATTAAAGCCATAGATAAGTACTCAGTCTAGTAAAATTTCTATTGATGCAAATATTACAAAATATTGTTCAGATTTACTGGAAACATCATAATCATTCTAGCTAATTATTCATATATTTAAAGGTTGAATGTATCAATATTCTGATGTGAATTTCATTTAAAAAAAACACATTTTGATTGGTTAAGTTTTGGCTACCAGACATGTTATAGTTGCAAGGAGTATCTTTATAGTCAAATCCTCACAGCAATATTTCACAAAAACTCATTGAAAATTTGGCTCATTAGTGATTATAAAACAGTTTATCATCCAAGTTTCATTACACAAATATGTCAAAATAATGAATTATTCTGGAGATACGGAAGTACAGATCAGCTGGATAATATTGTTATTAATTTATGATCTTGAATAAACACACATGATAAGGCCAATTTCATGAAAGAAACCTCAATTCAAATAATCAATAAAAACAATTTTGGAATGTTTAATGCAATCTTTAAGAAAGGTAATCGTTGTCATGACAAGTTACGTTTGAAATGGGTTCCATACAATACATGTAAAAGATATGTAAAGATATTATTTACATAAAATTTTAATTCTTATCATTGACCTTTAACAAGACAGCCCTGCCTTCAGCTGCAAATATCAGTCTGGGATGTCTGTGATGATTAGATTGGTGTTAAGGAAGCTCGTTGTCGTGGTGATAAATCAGGATGCCAGAGGTCAACTATGAGTATCAGTCTAAATGTATCTCCGTTATGCCATACTTCGTGTTCAAATGAATCGTCAAAGATTATCACTTTGCCTTCATCCCAACTCCTACAATCAAATAAATTAAACTGTATGTTATTGTGCAAAGCAATAAAATAAAATAAAATGAAATATTGCAATCAGTCGATGTATGTCAGATGTCTAAAACGACATTTGTATTAATGAACAAAGGATGTCCATGGATAACTGAGATCTGGGTAGATAATGGTAGAACTGCATACTTATTACAGCGGGCGCAAGATATTTACATACACCCGACTCCCGCACCCAGTAGGCAATTACCGAGAAACTTTGCAACATCTCCAGAAACTTTGCTAGACACTCCAATGACCGTTTTAGATGCAATAAAGTTACATACACGCTCACGTGACAGTTAATCAAAACACCGGACGCGGTATGCTTTTGAAGTTTGGCCACGAGGAGCAAAGGGTAGTTGGACTATTCCATTGCTTTGTAGATACAACAATCATTGCTGTGTGATACTTGGGAGAAATATAATACAAACATTAAACTGGAAATAAATATTAATAAGAAATGATTATCTAAATTCTTTTGACCGGTAGTTTGTTAAGATGTTTTCAATAGATATTATGTTAATAATGTTAGCGTTGTGAGTGTCTTGTTCAATTTCTCGCATAATGGCTGGTCACATTGCCCTGTTTGCCAGAACACTCATCGCCCAGTCAATCTTTCCCTTGAATCCCACCGATGTGACAGAAATGCCACACACACAACCGTTGCCCTCGTTAGTCCATCTTCCTCTGTCGTCGATCATTCGCAAACGTAGAATAATCTCTATCTCAGTGTCTTCGTCTAAACGCTTCGACATAATAGCAATAATTCTTCAAAATCAGAAACTGCATTCAAAAACGAAACTGTTCTCACAAGGATAATTTCATTATATGTTAGGGGCGTTTTTAAATATTTGTATCAAATAGGTTTATTATTTTCGCGAAATAATCAAAATAGAATTTATTAAATGAATTCGCATATGTATGCATGAAATAATAAAGTGTCCGATATCAAAAATGAGTAAAATATGATTGTTTGACGCATACACGTTGTAATAGTTGAACTCATCTGAAACCTTGGTCAGTTGTTTTGATTACCTGTCACGTAGGTGCACGTGTACGTAATTTTATTGCCTCTACAACGGTCGTTGGAGCGTCTAAGAAAGTGTCTGGGAATGTTGCAAAGTCCTTCAGTAATTACCTACGGGGTGCAGGAGATAGGTGTATGTAAATATCTCGTGCTCACTGTAATAATAATAATAAAGATAATTTATTGCATCCTTAGAAATACAGTGTTTCCATCAGTTTATAGCAACAAAAGTAAGATATTAAAAAACAAAATAACAAAATAACTATAACTAATGCATTTTTAACATTGAATTGGCAACCAGTCAGCCATCTTGAATCAGATCATCAAACAAATTAATGTGCATATTTGTGACATGGTGTATGTACATAATTAGTCAAGGCATGTCAAAGATATGGCTTTGGAAAGGCATCCATGCAAACAAAATGGCCACCAGTTTGCCATTTTCAATTCGATCTAAAAAAAGATCAAAGAAAGCTTAGAAAGAACTCCTATGTGCTGAGAGTATTGGAGACACATTTATGACACAACAGATAAAGAGATAAGAACACACGTTTATTTGGCAAAACAGGGAGGGCACGCTGCTGGGACCATACAGTCTGAAATGCATAGCTGAAATCTGCCTAACAATGAGTGCTACCTAACTTGCCTAGACTAGTCCCACAGCGAGCCCCCCAGTGAGACGGTTAGCAGTGTCAAACTACTACCGCAGAAAAGATATAGTACAGCAAATCTGAAAAGCTCAAAAAACAGTCTGCAAAAAACAGTAAATACTGACTTGTAAAACGTTAGCATTAATGTTAGTATATTAATATGAGAAATGAACAGCGGAAGCTGTAGGTCGATTATTGTAGCTGAAAGCTACGTGAAGTAAGTAGGTTATGTAGCTGTGAGCTACGTGAGGTAACAGTGTTATCGATAGAA